TAGCATCCCTGGGTGGTACAGACTGCTAATAATAATGCTTAACTGTTAATGAAAAAACAAACAAGTCCACTTCTACAGAGACATCTAGAAAGAAAGATATGGCTACCTCAGAAAAAATTCAGCTGCTGAGAAGTAAAATTCAATTCAACACTGATAAAAAGGGGTTTGCCATAAGTCAGAGTTGACCAGTTATGATGAGCAAGTTAAATACGACTCATAACAACCCTATGGACAATAGGTCTGATCCCTTGTACTCTCCTGCACTATTTTCACCATCTTTAACATGCTTAAGCCCATTGTTGCAGTTACTGTGTCAATTCATCTCATTGAAAGTCTTCCTTTCTTTTACTGACCTTCCATCTTTCCTAGCATGGTGTACCTTTCCAAAGAACAGCTCCTTCCAGCAAGATGAAGTTCCAGGTACAAGAGATGAAGCTCCACTATTCTTGCCTTCAAGCAGCACTCTGGCTGCACCTTCTCTAAGACATATCTGATTGTTCTTTGGCAGTCCATAGAATACTCAGTACTCTTCTTTAAAACCACACTTCAAAGGCATCAAATTTTCTTCTGTCATCCTTATTTGTTGTCCAGCTCTCACAAATGATTGAAAAGATCATGGACTGAATCAGGCACCCCATACTCTTCAAACAGACATTCTTGCTCCTCAGTACTCTGGAGATGTCCCTAATAGCAGGCTTTACCAATACAATACATCTTTTGATTTCTTAAATGTTGGTGCCCAGGGTATTGATTATGGATCTAAGTAAGAAGAAATCATTGACAATTTCAATCTTTTCTCCAGCTATCATAGCATTGAACCATGCAGTGTTTCCTTGTTCTGTTCTGATGACTACCTCCTGGTCCAAGTATAGGTTTTATATAAGCAAAATCAAGTGTTCTGTGATTCCCATTCTTCTCAGAGTCAGCCATAGTTTGTTGTAATCCACACAGTCAAATGCCTTTGCACAGTCAATGAAACACAGATAGGCATTCCTCCAGACTCTGCTTTCAGTCACGATCCATCTACTATTGGCTACAACATCCCTAGTACCACAATTTCTTCTAAATCTACCCTGCCCTCTGGCAGTTCTCCGTCGACGTGCTGTTCCAGTCGTTTTCGGATAATTTTCAGCAGTATCTTGAATACATGTGATATTAATGATGTTGTTCTGTAATTTCCACACTCTCTCAGGTAACCTTTCTTTGGAATGGGAACAAATATATGTCTCTTCCAGTCAGCTGGCCAGGTGGTTGTCCTCCAGATTTCTTGACAAAACTTAATGAGCACATCTAGGGAAGCATCTGTTTGTTTAAATATGTCAATTGGTATGCCATCAATTCCTGGGGCCTTATCTTTTGCCAATTCTTTCAAAGCAGCTTGAACTTCTTCCTTTATCACCATAGGCTCTTGCTCATATATTTCATGAATTTCTCTGTGTCTGCCAATTCCTTTTGATGCAATGACCTTGTATTCTCTTTCCATCTTCTAGTAATGCTTCCTGGATTATATAATATTCTACCCAAAGCATTCTTAACTATTGCAACTCTAGGGTTGAATTTGTTCTTCATCTCCTTGGGCTTATGAAATACTGAGCAAGCTTGGTCCCTTAGATTTTCTGACTCCAGCTTTTTTCACATTTCAATGTAATACTTTACCTTGTCTTCCTGTGCTCCCATTTGAAATTTTCTGTTCAGCACCTTAATATCTTTATTTCATCCCTTTGCTTTGGCTACACTAGAGATGTGTCCTATCTCCGTACTTTTCAATATATATGCAGAACAGATTCCCCAGGAGGCAGGGCTATATGAAGAGAAATGTGGCATCAAAATTTGAGGAAGATTTATCAGGAATCTGTGTTATGCAGATGACACTACCCTACTTGCTAAAAATGAGGAACACCCAATGTGCAGACTGCAGCAGATCAAGGACTATAGCCTTCAATATGGATTGAAGCTCAACATCAAGAAAACAAAGATTCTCACCACTGGGCATTATGATAGATGATGAAGAGATTGAGATTGTTAGCAGCTTCACTTTGCTTGGCTCTATATTGAATACTTTTGGGACCATCAGCCAGAAAATTAAAAGACAAATTGCATTGTGAAAGTCTGCTGTCAGAGACCTCTTCAAAGTACTGAAAAGCAATGGTGTCAGTCTGGGAACTAAGGTGTGCCTGCTTTCGGCCATGGTCTTTGCCATTACTTGCTATTCATCAGAGGGCTGGACAATGACTAGGGATGATAGTAGGAGAATTGATGCCTTTGAGCTGTGATGCTTTAGAAAATTCTTGAATATACCATAGACATCTAGAAGAACAAATAGGTTCATCCTAGAAAGGGTGAAACCCAGCTGTTCCTTCATCTGACATACTTTGGATATATTGCAAAGAGGGGCCAGTCCTTGGAGGGGAACATCATGCTTAGGAGAGTGGAGGGACAGCACAAGAGAATAATACTCTGGATGAGATAGATTGATCCAGTGACTGAGATAATGTGGGTAGGTGTGTCAAAGACGATAAGATTGACATAGTATAGAGCAGGATGTAGGGCTGTTGTACATATGTGTCACGAGCAACTCGATGGCACATAACAACAACAGCAACAATCATGTCATTATTATGATATCTATTCTTGAGTAAGGAAACACTTTCCAGAACAGAGTAAAGAAACACGACTAGGTTCAAAATTAGGAAATGTGTGCATAAGATATGTGTTCTGTCTCCATATCTTTTCAATCTATGTGCAGAACAGATCATTTGGGAGGTTGGGCTTTATGAGGAGGAATGTAGCAGCCGGATTGGAGAAAGACTCATCAACAAACTATGGTATGCAGATAATAAAACCCTGCTTGCCAAAGCTGAGGAGGACCTGAAGCACTTGCTGGAGAAGATCAACGACTGTAGCCTTTAGTATAAATTGAAGCTCAATATCAAGAAAACAAAGAGTCTCACCACTAGACCAACTGGCAGCACTTCTTAATGAAAAGAAGTAAGGAGAGTCAGTGGAGAAAGGGAATACTTCCAATGAGATGAATTGAAACAATGGCTGCAGCAATGGGTTTGAGTGTTGAGGATGGCATAGCATAGTGCAGGGTTCAGGTCTATTGTTCACAGAGTCATTATGAGTTGTACTCAACTCAATAGCACATAATAGCAATAACAACAATAATAACAAGAAGTTAAAAAAGTAGTGTTTCAAAGTTTATATACAGTTGGATATCACTTTTATAAGAAGAATATCACAGTGGGAACAAACAGCCGAAATATTAATAGCATTTACCTCAAGACGGTGAGTTGAATGGCAGTTTTTAACATATAACTTCTTTTCTAGACTTTTCTGCATCTAATATATGTTTTATAATAAGTAAACGATACATAGAAAAATTTAAGTGAAAAAATGTATTGCCCAAATTCCTAGAGTTGCAAGTTGCATTGATAACTTAAAAGGTCAACAGTTTAAATTCAGCAGCTGTTTTTGTTTGTTTGTTTGTTTTATTATTTTTTTAATGAAAGTTTACAGAGACTTAGGGTTTCAGTCATTCATTGTTGCACTTTTCTCCCTGCTCATCCCTTCCATCCCCAGTTCATTCTTTTCCTTAAAAAGTAAAAGGAAAACTCTTTCATTGTTATGCAATCCCTCCCCCCAGTTCCACTCCTCTGTGCAGCCTTCATTCTGGACTCCTGTCATGACAATAGTACCCAATCATAATTCCCTTTAAAAGTTTCTCTCCCTCATCCGTTTCAATGCAGTATACATCATTTCTTCCCTTCTTCCCTGTCTTTCCTCAATCCTGATGCCAGTCCTGTTTTACAACAGTCTCCCTATGCAATATTTGTCCTTTTGTGACTGAGATATTTCACTCAGCATAATGTCCTCCAGGGTCATCCATTTAGCATAATATTTCATGAGTCTCTTATTTTTCAATGCAGTATAGTATTCCATTCTGTAAATATACCAGAGTTTCTCTATCCATTCATTTGTTGATGGGCATTTGGGTTGTTTCCAAATCTGCTATTGAGAAAAGAGCAGCAATAAACATGGGTGTGCATATATCTGTTTGGGTGGTGGTTATGGTTTCTTTAGGGTAAATCTCCCAGTAGTGGAATTTCTGGGTCATATGGTATTTCTGTTTGCAACTTTTTGAGAAAGCGCCGTGCAGCCTTCCATAGTGGTTGCACCATTTTACACTCACACCAACAGTGAATAAGGATTCCAGTTTCTCCGCAACCTCGCCTGCATTTGATGTTTGCTGTTCTGTTAAATTTTGCTATTCTTACTGGGGTAGTTGTTTTGTCAGAAGCTGTTTTGAGGAAGAAATATGGACAGTATCTTCCTGTTAAAGATTCACAGCTTCAGAAACATGATAAGGGTCACTATGAGTTGCAATAATTTTGATGGCAGTGGGCTTGGGTTTGTTAGTTTAATGTAAACTATAAGTGGCAATTCTCTGCCAGCTTCAGTTCTAGGACAAGGTAATGAGAAAACACTATTCATGCAATGGATAACACTCCTTCTGCTTTAATATTCTTTTTGCCATGAGCATCAATTATTTTAATAGTATCTCAAATATTTGTATGTTTGCTTTAGAAATCTTGTTAAGCAGTATCTCATTTTATCCTAACAATAATTCCATAGGATAAATTAAAAGTTATCTGTAACCTGTAAACTGTTCTCTAACTTTCCAAGCCAAGTGAAATGTTCCAGAAGATTCATGTAAGCAGCAATTCAGGAGAGAAAAAGAAGTTGTGTTGGAATAAGATTTACTGTATAGTAGGAGGAAGAGACTGTTTCCCCCTTCTACGTAACATGCCAAATATGGGTTACACATTGTGTATTTAATGTTAATCGTTAATTTAAGACACCATTAAAAATTTGAAAATGGGGAAATGGAATGGAGCACAATGTTATGAAATGGAAAGAAATAATATGGAAGTAAATGGTGAATACATGTATTTAAAAGTATAGGCCATAACTCTGTTATTTTTTCATTAAAAACGCAGCTCAACTCCAGAAGTGGGACATGAAAAACTGCACCTTTGTTTCTGCTAATACAAATGATATATCTCAATATCTCACGGGAAAAGGAAATTATAGTGAAGATGAAATGAGATTTCGGAACATCATTATGGAACGTTTGAAAGCCATGGAGATGAGAGTCCACTATGTTGCAGACATGGAATCCAGCCTGATAGACACAGAACATTTCCAAAATCTCAGTGTGACAACTGATCAAAGATTTAATGACGTTCTTTTCCAGTTAAGTGCCTTAGTTACTTCAGTGCGTGGCCACGAAAACACAATGGAAGAATTCTCCAAATTCATAAGGAGTCTGAATACCACACTGCTTGATTTACAGCTCAATATAGAAACACTAGATGACAAAGTTCAAGCAACTATAGTCAAACATAAAGAGGTAAGGTTTTTGTACTGGAAGTTCACATGCTGGAAATGAATACATTTAGCATATCTGTCTCCTCAGAGAGTCCAGGAAAGCAAATGTTGCAATTTCCCCCCCATCAAGGTATTTACCCTAAGTCCTTGTTAACTTTAATACAAAGTTCAAATTACTTTACCCTGTGATTTTTCCAGAAAGCTCTGGTGGTATAGTGGTTAAAAGCTTCACTGCCATCCTTAAGGCACATCTTACAAATCTACCAGTTGCTCCATGAGAGAAAGATAGGCCGTCTCCTCCTGTTTGATTTATGGCCTCTGAAAACACTCGGGAGGATTCCAACTGGATTGCACTTAATAACAATAGTATGTTTTTTAGGCAATGTCTATAGACCTAAGGTGTATTAATTTATAACTAAGATCAGATTGTATTTTCAAAACTATCTATAACAAAATTAGAAATTTTATATTATCTGAGTAGTTCTGTCAAGTGGGAACTAACTCAAATGCAGCCCTCCAATAGATTTTCTGTACCTATAAATTGTACTGGAGGATATTTCCTATCTTTTTCCTGAGGAACTGTTGGTAAATTCAAACCCACCTGGGCAGCACCACCAAAACTCTCTACAGACTATACACCCCAAGTGTTACCTGGTAAACATTAACATTTTAAAACAGATTCAACTTTTTTCCCTCCTCATGAAATAAGAGAAACCATATTCACATGGATTATTACAAAATCTAAATATTAAAAATTTATTTGCCATTTATAAAAGGTATATGTGGGGGTTTTTTTACACATATAAAGGGTATAGTTAAATAATTAAATTATGAGTAATGCAAAAAATGCCCTGCTGTTATTATAGCATAAAAGCACAATAGGCTTTTTCCCCTCCATGTAAACTATGGTATTCGCTAAACATTTGGAGAAACAGCAATGAGAAAAGCACTTCATAATCAGTCTGGAGCAATCAGATACCTCTTTATCTTTGCACTAACAGAGCAAAATATATTCTATTGTCAGTAATAGGCAAGATTTCATTATAAATTAAAACACAAACAAACAAAATCACTATCATCAGATCAGTTCTAACTCATAACCAACTTCCCCTGCGTTTCCAATGCTATAAATAGTTATGGAAGGAGATAGTCTATGTTTTTTCTTCAGTATAGTTGGTAAACTTCAAGTGACAACCTTTTGGTTAACAGTGGAATACAGTACCCACTATGCTTCCTTATAATGTATAAATTATTGTAGTTCTAAAACAGCCATAGAGAATATGTAAGAAATTGAAGGAATCTATGCTCTAATAACATTTTATTCGCAAAAGCAGATTATGAACTGAATTTAGCCAACAAGTCATATATAATTTGTGGCTTTACTGCCTATTCTCTTGTGGACAACCCTGGTTTAGATCTAAATTCATTGTACTAATAGGCAAATTGCTTGTTTCAAACTCTGCCTTTTTTGGTGAATTATTACAATTGTTAGTTTTCATTTCAGTCTAGAGGCTAAGGTGTGCCTGACTCAGGCTATGGTCTTCGCAATTATTTGTTATCTATCAGAGAGTTGGACAATGACTAAGGATGGAAGAAGAAGAATTGATGCCTTTGAGTTGTGGTTCTGGAGAAGAGTCTTTAACATACCATGGACTGCCAAGAAAACAAATAGGTCTGTCTTGGAGAGGTTGAAACAAAATTTCTCCTTGGAGGCTAGGATTTTGAAGCTCTGTTTCATATATTTTGGGTACACGGCCAGGAGGGACTGGTTTTGGAGAAAATCTTCATGCTCGGAAGGGTGGAGGGACAGTGAAGGAGAGGAAGATCCCAGATGAGATGGATTGATATGGTAACTGGGGTAATGGGTATTGATGTGTTGGAGTCAGTGAAACTCACTCAGGACAGGGAAGGCTTCAGAGCTGTTGTACATAGGGTCACTATGAATCACAGATGATTCAAAGGCACATAACAACAACAACAACAACGTGACTGGAACCTTATGGATCAAATAAAGAGAACATATTCACATTAAAATATATTACATCTATGATTATTGTAATGTGAATACCTAAGCAATGCTAGTGTTCCCTAAGCAATAGCATTCTGTTTAACTATGGGGATCCCACAAGTGATTTTTAGTCTAATATCATCCTTGTCATTCTGTTTTTATTATATGGCACAGCTCCCCAAGCCTGTCAGTGTTTCTCAACCTTCTTTCTAAGTTCTGAAGTTTATTGAAGTCAGGGAGTTGAGTTTGAGAGTTTTTTTGTTTTGTTTGAGTTTTAAATTTATCAAATACTATTGGAGTTTCAGGAGCAGGTTTTGTGGGAGTTTTAGAGAAGTTCACCAAAAGAAAATGTCCAGAATGGTAGAGCAATATGGAGAAAGTGGAACAGAAATGTGAAAGGAGCAGACACTAATTGTATTGAGGAGAGGTGAAGAAACATTTACATAGAAACAGTGGCAGAGGAGTGAGTCAAGGAGATAGAAGAGGATTAAGATGCAAAAACAAGGATATATTTGAGTGTGAGAATGTCTAAAATGAAGGAGAAGTGATATGATCTCTGTGGTTCCAGACACATTCAGATTTTAGTTATTAGTCAAAGCTGGAAACCATTTGGAAGGCAGAAGAAATCTTAAGTGTTTATGAAGTGATAACTAATGGCAATAAATGGCATCAGGTGGCCGGTCACCTCTGTGAGTTTGATTAGATTGCACTTACATTTTTGGAGTGTGTTCTAACATTAGTAAAGGAGTTAAAGGAAATAGTGAAACAGCTAAAGTTAATTTTTTTATAAAGACCGTGGTGATAGATAGGAACTAGAGAACTCTGGCGGTGCTTTCTACAAACCCCAAGACCACATCTCTCTCTAGGTTCAAATTCCCCCTGTTCTCTGAGGGAATAGTGCAGACGATCTCCTCCCATTTCAGCTTCAGACACTCAGTGGAGGGTCGGCTGTGAGGAAATTCTGAGTTAATAGCAATGGAGCGACTAGAAACCAGGTCAGTGTCTGTGTGGATGCGTGTGTATGTATATTTCTGCATCCATACTAAAAACCATTGAGACTTAGCCCTCATTGCCTCAAAAATCTCCTTTATTTTTCAAAATCTCCTTCATTTCTAGTCTAATGCGGGAATAAATAAATGAAATGAATACTTGAGTCAGTAAAATCCTGTTTGAAGTAAAGGCTTATAAATAATGACAGCATAATGCTTATCAAGGGCAGACCAAGCATTAAGTTAGAAGAAAACCAAAACAAAACACAAAAAAATACCCCCCTGGCACCAAATGGAAGCTTTAGATGAAATTTATCAGGTCAATACTTCATAGAAAGGACTGAAGGATGGCAAAACCCCGTTCCTTATTTGTAGCAGAGCCTTGGTGAAGCTGTGTATTGTGGATTTGTGATTGCTGTATGGGATTTAAAAAAAAATCAAATGCACTTTCCCTCTTCCAAATATAAAATCATTTCAAATAAGTGAAGAGATATAGGGATACCTGGGTCCTAAGGGAGAATTGGTAAGAAGCTATGCCACCATCCCAGAAGCATGACATTCAAATCCACCTTCTGGTTTGCAGGAGAAAATGGGCACTCTCTTTCCATGTGATTCACTGCCTCTAAAAATCCATGGGACAGTCAGTTACAACTTAGTTTGACTCGATGGCACACAACAAAAGAAAAAAATGGCAACAAGGAGCAAATGTATTCTTTCTCTCCTTTGTTCCAGCATGTATGAAACTATAGGGCATAGTATAGAAATTCATAAGATGAGTAATCTCATTCTGGACAGTTTACACCCTCTCTGAAAACCTTGTTTCAAGTAACAGATGTAGCCTTGAATGCATTCATCAAACTATACCAGGAAATTTGGGAGACCGCTGTCTGTCCAACAGATTAGAAAGATCCATATTTGTTCCCATTTCCAGTAAAAGTTGGTCCAACAGAATGTGGAAACTATCAGAGTATCATTAATATCACACACAAGTAAATTGCTGCTTTACTGCTGAAGCTGAGAGATCACTTTAATACGGCTGGAACAGTGCATAGATAGGGAACTGGCAGAAGTTCAAGCAGGATTCAGAAGAGGCCGTGACATCAGGGATATCGTTGCTGATGTCAGTGGATCCTGGCTGGAAGTAAAGTATACCAGAAGAATGTCTATTTGTGTTTTATTGACTATGCAAAGACATTTAACTGTATGGATCATAACAAGTTATGGCTAATATTGAGAAGAATGAGAGTTATAGAGCACTTAATTGTGTTCATGTGAAACTTATAACTAGACCAGAAGGCTGTGGTGCAAATTATGTCTTTTTGAGGACTAAGGTGCTTTTGATTCAGGCCATGGTATTTCTGATTGCTTGCTATGCATCTGAGAGCTGCACAATGAATAAAGACAATAGATGAAGAATTGATGTTTTTGAACTGAGGTGTTGGAAAAAAGAACTGCACTTCACATGGTTTAAAATTAAGAATGGAGTGCGTCAGGATTGTATACTCTCTCCATACCTATTCAACCTATATGTTGATCAAATTATTCGAGAGCTGGATTCTTTGAAGAGGAATGTGGCATCAGGATAGAAGGGAGATTCGTCAATAAACTGTGTTGTGCAGACAACACAACCTTGCTTGCTGAAAGTGAGGAGGTCTTGAAGCATTTGTTGCAGAAGATCAAGGAATGCAGACTTCAGTATGGACTGTGGCTCAATGTAAAAAAAATATATTCTTACCACTGGATGGATAAACAACATCATGATGGATGGAGAAAGATTGAAACTGTCAATAACTTCATCTTATCTGGATCTACTTGGTACCAGTAGCCAGGAAATCAGGAGATGTACTGCACTGGGGAAGACTGCAGTTAGGGACCTCTCTAAGTTATTGAGGAGTAATGATATCCATTTAATGACTAAGGTGCATCTGATTCAGGCTACGGTCTTTCCAGTCACATACTATGCATCTGAGAGCTGGACAATGTGAAAGAACAACACAAGAAGTACTGATGCCTTTGAGCCGTGATGTTGGAGAAAAGTTTTGAACATCCCATAGACTACTAAAAGAACAAACAAATATGTCTTTAAGAGGGTCCAGTCAGAGTGCTCTCTGGAGGCAAAGATGATGAGGCTTCACCTCATGTACTTCAGGCATGTTGCCAGGAGGAGTTATTTATTGGAAAGAGACATGATGCTTGGAAGGGTGGAGGGTCAGCGAGGAGAGGAAGACCCTTGACAAAGTGGATTGAAATGGGAACTGCTACAATGGGCTCTAATGTGTAAAGATGTGTGAAGATGGCAAAGGATAGGATTGCTATGAGTTGTACTCAATTCAGTGGCACCTAACATCAGCAACTAAAAACCTACTGCAGAGTCAGGTATGAGTCACTTTATAGAAATGAGTTTTGAGTCTTTTGAGTAGCATGTCATAGCAATCTAAGTTTATTTAGTCCATGGGTAGTATTCATCGGTCATATTGTCTGCAGGCTTCTTTTGTATTAATATATTGTAAGAAAGATGCCAAATCATGGCAAGAGGTGGAGTTGGAGATACAGCAATGTGGTGGGTAAATGAGAAGGTAGAGATAGAAAACAAATGAAATTTGACGCTTTCTGGTAGTCTCATGGAAGAAGTGAGTCAGGTTTTAGTTTTATGCTTTTCCAAAGGGTTGATGCCTATACCAGCTTGATCCTCTCACCTTCATTTATCCAATGCTGTCCAAGTGAGTACATATTTTCTCTCCACACCCAGATGAGCAAACAGACAAGACTGGTTTATTTATGTTTGAGAATTGGAAATAGGAATCCATCTACAGTTAAACCCAGAAATAATTACAAATAAAACATGCCATAAAGCCAGAGGATGAGATCGAATAAAAGAGAGACAGAAAATAAAGCCATAGGAACCAAAAAGTTCAGGGTCTATAAAGGAGAAAAACCAACATTCCTAAAAGAAAGGCAAGCAAAAGATCTGTCAGGAAAGCTAACAAACAAAGACATATCAGTACAATTTGGAAAAAAAAACAACCCCAAACCAAAGCAACAAATGCAATGCTGTACTTTAAATATATTATTATACAATACTGATGGCCAGTATTTGAGTGAATAGTCACTCTTACACAGTGAAATTTGAAAAAAAAATAAATAGGTCTACACATTTGGAGGGCCATGCAGTACCATTGAAAAAAAAGTTGTATAGATAGTCCCTTTGATCTCTTCCAGAAAACTATTTGTAAAAGCACTTGAACAAATGTGTAGGAAAATGTGCAATTGTGTTCACTGACGTGTTGTTTAAAATGTATTGTTGTTGTTATGTGCTATCAAGTCACCTGAGACTCATAGAAACCCTGTGTACAGTAGCTCTGAAGCCTGCTCTCTCCTGAACCAATCTCACTGTCTCTGACAGATCTAATTCCATTTCTCCAGTTACTGAGTCAGTCCATCTCATCCTGAATCTTCTACCCTGTCCATCCACTCATCCAAGCATGATGTCCTTAACTAAGGATGGTCTCTCGTGGTCACCTGCCCAAAGTGTGTGAGATGCAGCTTCAAAATCCTTGCCTCCAAGGAGCAGCTTGGTTTCATTTTCTCCAGGACAGACCTGTTTGTTTTCCTGGCAGTCCACAGTGTGTTGAACACTCTTCTCCAGCACAAGAACTAAAAGGCATAGATCCTTATTCTACCATTCTTAGTTTTTGTACAGCTCTCTGATGCATAGTAATTTATTGCAAAAACCATGGCTTGTTTAAAATAGTTTATTAAAAATACTCAGTTCAAAACACATAAATAGAAATCTCGAGTAAACCTTGAAGAAATCATTTCAATATTATACTATCAATTTTTTTAATAAACCTCTATAACAAAATTTCATTAGTATTGTAAACACAAAACCATAATACATAGCATATTATCTTCTCTTTGATAATTAATCTGAGTTATATGCATGTATACATATAAATAATACAAAATATGTATCATATGAGAGCATTAAGTTATTCCCAATAGTATTTTTGAGAATTATGACAATACTTTCCTTAAGATGATTAAGGAGTATAAACTGTAAAAAGAAATTATATTCACAGAACACAAATATGTTGCTACTCTAGGTAATAAAGAAATTCCACTTTAAGATAAATTGCAAAAAAAATATTGCAAAGTTTTAATGTAATTTTTAGTATTTAGATGTTACCTTTGAGAATACAAGAAACTTCCAGCTTTTAAATTTGTGTGTTTGACAGTTACAGTTATGGATTCTTGCTATGTTTCACAGGAAATCAGAGTATTACAACAGCGTGTATACAATGCATCAGCAGAAATCAAGTCTATGAAAGAACAACAAGTGCATTTGGAACAGGAAATAAAAGGAGAAGTGAAACTATTGAATAATATCACTAATGATCTCAGACTGAAAGACTGGGAACATTCGCAGACATTAAGAAATATTACTTTAATTCAAGGTAAAATATCTTCTTATTTATCCAGAAAATGATACATTACAATATATTGATATATTCCAAAATTTGAAATTCAGAAACTTCTGGTTTAAAATAAATAACTTGTTAGAATACATTTTTTACAAATACCCAGAGGAAACAATCTTTCTGTTGGGATATTGTAGCACAATATTGTAGCCTGGTGTAATTTAACTAGAAGGACAAAAACAAATGAAATATCTTGCAGAGAGCTAATGAGTACTTAGATCATTGTTTAAGTCATGCCGTATGTACTGAAGAGGAATATAAGTTCTCTGATAGTGGGGTACAAAGTTCTGCTGCTAATTCTGTTTCTCAGATGTTTCATATTCTTATTTACTTCTCATATGACTGCATTATTAATTAAAAAAATATTCTGATTTCTCTAAAATAATGGGTAATGGTAGACATATTTCTTCCTCAGTTACTTCTAGTACAACAAAATGAATTGACTCTAATGATTCATTATACACACACACACACACACACACACACACACACACACATATTCTAGTTTCCTTTCCCTATATAAAGTCAGTATATATTATGCAGGAGTTTCATTTATTATTTAGATTATAAATATGCTCTCATCGTTTCATCATCTTTGTATCTTTTGTCTTATTATGTCTCTTATAAATAATGTTTATCTTGATTTTCATTTTATGAATGCAATCTAACCATCATTTTCAATTGTGCTTATTTCTCATTTTTGACTATGTAGTTTGGTTTTTGTTCAGTTTGTTCTGTGCTTAATTTGACTTTCTTTATTGACTGTATTTGAATTGAAATATTTGTCTTCTTGTTACATTTTTCTCTGACTAATTTTGAGACACTTTTTAGTCTATCTCTATGTTGTTAATAGCTATCTTTATAATTTATTTTAGATGTTTTTCTATCTTCCAAGTCAGCTAAAATAACTTTCATTGTTTCACTGTTTTCTCATTCATAATAAGAGAAATAGAAATCAGGAACTCAATATGATTTCATCTCACATCCTTTAGTTAAGGACTCAGTTTTGACTCATAGTGACCCCACAAGGGAGCTTTTGTGGAGTAGGAAATTGTATGACTAATTCAAAGGTGGAGCCTCTCTGGAAGTTCACTTCCACCAAACTCCTAGGGACTGCATTATGGTGTAAAAAAATGCCAGATATCCTATGGACTGCCAAACAAACAAACAAGCAATTATATCTCAAGAAAGGTGCAGGTAGAGAGCTCTTTAGAGGGAAAGGTATTTGTATTTGTGGTTAGATACTTTCACATACTATGGATATGTGTTTAGAAGAAATCAGCCCTTGGAGAAGGATATCATGCTTAGAAAGCAGCGGTCAGTAAAAGAGAGGGAGCTTCACAATGAAACGGATTGACACAATGGCTGGCAGAATGGGCTTGTGTGTTGCAGGGGCAGTGAGGAGAGTGCAGGATAGTGCAGAATTCAGACCTTCTATTCATAGGGTCAACTCTACCACACATAACAGCAACAACAAGGAAAGACTACACACTTTCAAAATCAGGGAAGAGAATAATAGGACAAGAAGATATGAAGAAAAATGAGCAATCCCTTCCCATGTTATTTATAGTCCCAGAAAACACGCTAGAGGGTCCACTGTGAGTGAGTGAGAGCAAAGGGGAATTACAATGTCTAACAATCTAAAGGCTGACCAAAAAAAAAGAAAAAAAAAGATTTAAAAAACCCCATACAATTGTTGTAGTAAATTTTTTTTAATTTTTAGTGCTTCTTGTTAGGTGCTATAAAATTGATTACAACTCATAGCGACCCTAGGAACAACAAATCTGAACCCTGTCTTACCCTGTGCCAGTCTCACAAGGTCTGACACACTTGAACGCATTGTAGCAGTAACTGTGTCAATCTATCTCATTGAGGTGTTTTCCTCTATTTTGTCCACACTGCATCTTTTCAGGCATGCTCTCCCTCTCCAAGGAATAGCCTCTCCTAGTAGCATGTTAAAAGTATGTAAGATGAAGCTTTGCTGTCTTTGCCTCCAAGGAGCACTCTGGCTGCACTTTCTCTAAGACATATTTGTTTGGTCTTCGGCAATCTGTGGGATATTCAGTACAACTCAAAGGCATCAATTCTTTTTCTGTCATCCTTATTCACGATCTAATTCTCAGTTGCATAACAAGTGATTGAAAAGACAATGGCCTGAATCAGGCACACCTTACTCCTCAAACTGACATTATTGCACTTCAATAATTTGTGGAGGTCCCAGATTTAAGACTTTCCCAGTGCAATATGTCTCTTGGTCCTTTGATTGCTGGACCAGGGTTTTGATTGTGGATCCAAATAATATGATGTTATTGACCATTTTAGTCTTTTCTCCATCTATCATTTTGTTGCCTATGAGTCTAATATTGAGGATTTTTGTTTTCTTGATGTTGAGATGCATTCCGTATTGAAGGCTGTAAAGTACTTCAAGGTCTCCTCACTTTCATCAAACCGTGCAGGTTATTGATGTTGAATTCTTGTTTACAGAGCTCTGCTTTTCACATAATTTATTGATCATACTGATTGAATACATATAGAGAGAAGATACAAGGCTGACATACACCTTTCTTAATCTTAAACCATGTTGCATTTCCTTGCTTTGTTAGCACAACAGCCTCTTGTACTAGGTATAGTTTTCACATGACCACAATAAAGTGTTCTGTGATTCCCATTCTTCACAATGTTAACAATAATTTGTTATGATATACACAGTATAAGCCTTTGCATAGTCCATAAAGCATACATAGATATTCTCCTGATAGTCTTTACTTTCAACCAGGTTCCATCTGACAATCAACAATGAGATCCCCAGTGCCAGGACCTTGTCTAAATCCTGCTTGAACTCTGGCAGTTCTTTGTCTATGTACTAGTTGAGCTGTTTTTGAATGATCATCAACATTATTTTGTTTACATGTCACATTAATGTAATGTTTGATAATTTCCATGTTCTGTCAGATCACCCTCTTTGGGAATGGGAATATGATTCTCTTCCAGTCAGTCAGTGAGGCAGCTGTCCTCCAAATTGCTTGGCATCAAAGATCAGATGAGTTGTAGGATGAAATCAAGAAAATCATCCATGAAGTGAGGAAAAAGAACATTACAAAAATAGAAGAGAAAGAAAAAAAACAAAAATGAACGTCAGAAGAGATTCTGAAATTTACACCAGAGCTTCAAAAAGCCAAAACAAAGGGAAGAGCTGCCGATGTAAAGAGCTTAACAGAAGCTTGTATAAAGAGCAGTTTGAGAAGACAAAGCAAGTTATTACAATGGATTTTGCAGAACTGGAATTGAAGACTATAAAAGGAAGAGCTCGTGACAATTCTTGGTCTGAGAAAACTAAAACACAAATTCAAGCCTCATGTTACAATATTGATCATTGTTATGGGAAAAATGTTGAATGATCCAGGAAATATCAAAAGAAGATGGAAGGAATACACAGAGTCACTCTACCAAAAACAATTGGTTACACTGAAAAATTTCAGGAAGTGCCATATGAACAAAAGAAAATGGTAATGAAGGAAGAAGTTGAAGCTACATAGAAGGCATTAGTAAATGTTTAATACTTATAGTTAAACAAAACCAAATAATATACATTAACAGATGGATACATAGGTAATGACAACAGTTGCTTTAAAATGCAAGGAAATGATGAACACAAAATTAAATCAATTACAAAAATCAGTGTAATATGTATTATTGAAAAAACGAAGTATTACTGAAAAGGATGGGAAATACATCATTTCTTCATTGTATCATTGTATGTCTGTTCTGGTCATTATTGTGCCTTATAAAATCCCAGTCATTGCATTTACTCCAACTTGTGGTGCCCTTTCTTTTTTCCCCCATAGCTGTAAATCTTAAAAGAAGGATGAGACTGACTCATCTTTCTTCAAAGAGTGCATGGTAAGGTCTAAGTACCCATCATTCAGTGAGCAGCTCAGTGCTTACCTTATAAGACTACCAGAGAGCCTTTACTGTGCCTTACAGCTCTCCTTTACAGTATACATATAAGACACATTCTTTGCTTATTATGTTAAAGAAAATAATAAAGAAAAATTAAAATACATTAATTAGCTTCTCATTGAATTATGCAAAGGCATTTGACTGTGTGGATCATAACAAACTGTGGCTGACTCTGACAAGAATGGGAATCCCAGAACACTTGATCGTGCTAATGAGAAACCTACACTTGACCAGGAGACAGCTGTCGGAACAGAGCAAGGAAACACTGCATGGTTCAAAATTGGGAAGGGTGTATGCCAGGGATGTGTCCTGTCTCCATACCTTTTAAATCTATAAACAGAACAGATTATCTGGTAGGCTGGACTCTACGAAGAGAAGTGTGGCTTCAGGATTGGTGGAAGATCCATCAACAATCTGCATTATGCAGATGACACAACCCTGCTTGCTGAAACTGAGGAGGACCTGAGGAGCTTGCTGCAGGGGGTCAAGGACTGCAGCCTTCAAGATGGATTGAGGCTCAATGTAAAAAAGACAAAGATTCTCAGTACTGGGACGATTGACAGCATCAAGATGGATGGTGAAGAGATTTAGATTGTTCACAGCTTTAGTTTGCTTGGTTCCACAGTCAGCTCTCTTGGCACCAGCAGCCAGGTAACTAAAAGACGTATTGCAATGGAAAAGTCTGCTGTTAGGGACCTCTCTGAAGTACTGAAGAGCAATGGTGTCACTCTGGAGACTAAGGTGCATCTGATAGAGGCCATGGTCTTTGCAATCACTTGTTATGCATCAGAAAGTTGGACAATGACCAGGGAGGATAGAACGAGAATTGATGCCTTTGAGCTGTGGTTCTGGAGAAGAGTATTGAATGTACCATGGACTGCTAAGAAAACACACAGGTTAATCTTGGAGAGGGTTGAACCAAGCTGCTCCTTGGAGGCAAAGATTCTGATGCTTCCTCTGACATACTCTGGACATGTTGCAAGGAGGAACCAGTCCTTAGAGTGGAACATCATGCT